CTAGTACCGGGTTGGACCCCCTTTTGCCTTCTGAACTGCCTTAATTCTTCGTGGCATAGATTCAACAAGGTGTTGGAAACATTCCTCAGAGATTTTGGTCCATATTGACATGATAGCATCACGCAGTTGCTGCAGATTTGTCGGCTGCACATCCATGATGCGAATCTCCCGTTCCACCACATCCCAAAGGTGCTCTATTGGATTGAGATCTGGTGACTGTGGAGGCCATTTGAGTAAAGTGAACTCATTGTCATGTTCAAGAAACCAGTCTGAGATGATTTGAGCTTTGTGACATGGTGCATTATCCTGCTTGAAGTAGCCATCAGAAGATGGGTACACTGTAGGCATAAAGGGATGGACATGGTCAGCAACAATACTCAGGTAGGCTGTGGCGTTTAAATGATGCTCAATTGGTACTAAGGGGCCCAAAGTGTGCCAAGAAAATATCCCCCACACCATTACACCTCCATCACCAGCCTGAACCGTTGAGACAAGGCAGGATGGATCCATGCTTTCATGTTCTTTACGCCAAATTCTGACCCTACCATCTGAATGTTGCAGCAGAAATCGAGACTCATCAGACCAGGCAACATTTTTCCAATCTCGTATTGTCCAATTCTGGTGAGCCTGTGCGAATTGTAGCCTCCGTTTCCTGTTCTTAGCTGACAGGAGCGGCACCCGGTGTGGTCTTCTGCTGCTGTAGCCCATCTGCTTCAGGGTTCGACGTGTTGTGCGTTCAGAGATGGTATTCTGCATACCTTGGTTGTAACGAGTGGTTATTTGAGTTACTGTTGCCTTTCTATCATCTCTAACCAGTCTGCCCATTCTCCTCTGACCTCTGACATCAACAACCCCGGAACTGCTTCCGTTTACAACTGCTGGCGCAAGCTAGATTAAAGTGATTATTACGTTTTGAATATGGATATTTTTCTTACAAAAACACATCGATTCGCTACAGGAGGCCTTTGTTCACCCCCCGGAGCCGTGTGAGACACTTTTTTTTTATGGAAAGGTGCTTTTTACTTCACGTCTTTTGTACAGAAGCAATGCAACACCCGCTGAGTCCAACGATAGAGCTTGAAAGATCAAAGACAATTTTTAATATAACTCCGACTGGATTCGTCTGAAAGAAGAAAGTCATATACACCTAGGATGCATCGGGGGTGAGTAAAACACAGCCTAATTTTCATTTTGGGGTGAACTAACCCTTTAAGGTTTGTGAAACTTAAATCAGCATCACTGCTGTCTGATTGTTTATGTCAGGTTTTACCCACCCAAAAGTGACACGTGAAAGAAACAAACTGCGATTGGTCATTGTATATGTCAGTCAAATGGTCTCTTCCAATACAAGTGAGCTGTTCTTGGCCATACTGAGGTACAAAGTGGACCAGAAATGCATCTGTAGTCTCACATAGTCAAACTCCCGGTGTTTATCTATCAGCATCATGATTTAAAAAAGCTAAGCAAAAGAGAGAAACTTTAGCATTAGAAGAGAGAATGAAAGAATGAATGAAGTTAAAGAAGAGAAAGGAAGCTGGTCTCAGACTAACCTGTGTTGATGTGTTGTTATTGGTGGAGACTAAATCTCGACACTCCCCCAGAGTCACTGACGCCACGAAGATCACGAGTGTTGTCACCATACACACCAGCAGACTCTCCAGCACCCTGCCAGTCAAACAAATACAGCGTCAGACTCCTATTACCTGACCGCTGAAATTCTCCAGTTGTTTTGAGTAGCTTTATTCAACATTAAATCCATATAATTGAGATCTCTCTCGGGTACCTGATGAATCTTGCTTTGGGGTGAACGTTTCTCATGCGGTATTTTGTGAGGCGTTTGTTGATGCAGTTGAACAGAGCGCCGAGCAAACCTCCTGCCACCCCCACCAACACAAAAAATGCCAAATCTACTGCCGTCCACAAATGACACGTCTTATCTCCATCTACACACTGCAGATAACAAAGAAAAACAGGTAAGTTAACACCACACACCTGATTGATCTGTATTTCCAATAATTACTTATAAGTCAACACAAAATCACATACGCAAGTGATCGAATGCGGAGGCTGAAGCTCAAGATCACGTTCATTTATCTCAATAGCTTTCATTAACTGTTATTATTGCTGTAACATGAATCACATTAATTAACTTGAAATTCCTGCTTTAACTTTTTTTTTTTTTTTTTTTAAAGTTGCATTAACTACAAAAGCAAACTAAAACAATGATGATTAAATGACATTCAACTTTTTTTTTTTCCCCCAAGCGGCCTAGTTGACATCAGATAAAAAAAAAATTGCTTCAACAAGAATTTCATACAATTTTTGATAAATGATTAAGATTTGTATTATTATTATTTAGAATACCATGATATGATAATGAATCATTCACAATAAAAAGTAATAAATACAGCATTTAAATATTTACATGTAGAAGATGACATGACGGGATTTGGGTTGGTCATGTTACTTCAATATGATCACCTAATTTACATATCAACACATTATAGGGGTGTAACGGTACACAGAAGTCACGGTTCCGTACGTACCTCGGTTTTGGGGTCACGGTTCGATACGAGTTCGGTACAACAGGAAATGCATTTTTTCATTTATTTTGAGCAGACAGTAGTGCTACATACATGTAAGCATGAGCAGTTGTTCTTGATTTGAATTAAGATTGTGTAATTTCAAGATTTAAAGCAAAAACAGAATGGTCACACTTTAGATCTGTGAAATTATGCTACATAAGACACCTGTAAAAAAAACAAAAACAGCAGATGGACTGAATGAAAATGCATATTTATTCTCTGACAGCAGGTGGCGCTATATTACACTACTTAGTTTAAAGGGGACCTATTATGCCCCTTTTTACAAGATGTAAAATAAGTCTCTGATGTCCCCAGTGTGTATGTGAAGTTTTACCTCAAAATACCCCACAGATAATTTTTTATAGCTTGTTGAAATTGCCACTTTTAGGGTATGAGCCAAAACGCGCCATTTTTGTGTTTGTCCTTCTGCAATGACTGCCTATGACTGACTGTATTCGCCATCTGACTGCATGAACCGTGACGGTTCGGGACAAATACATGTTCCGTTACACCCCTACAACACAATGTGAATGCATATAATTAAGGGGCTTTAATGTTTTTTTCTGTAGTTTTTTTACCTTAAACTCTCCAAAGTTGAGCAGGCCAGGCAGCTGGAATGATCCCCATTTATTGAAGTTGATCCCAGAACGAAAGAAGTTGAGTGTAAAAGTGGCAGACATGGAGCAGAACAACTTTAAGACAGAAGAGAGACAGAGAGAGAGAATTATAAACTGAACTTTCTCAGCACACCAAAATACATGACCAAACTGTATATCCACATACCACTTTCCATGTGAGGGTCTGGTTCCAGAAGGACGACCCCTCCTCCAGACTGAAGAGGGTGCCCCCTATAGGTGCCCCAAAGGCAGCCGCAACTCCAGCCGCTGCACCCGCTGACACGAAATCCCTCTTGTCCCTGAATATAAATCAAAACTGACCCTATTAACTTGATTAATACATATTCCTGGTATCACTGCAGATGTTTTAATATATTTAAAAATATATATTTTTCATAAAATTATTACTTAATAATTATAATAAGTAGAATAATATACAACAATTCTCTAAAGAAAAATGTTTCTCTTCATAAAATTTTATTAAAATGTAATATCTTGACTAGGGATGCAATATACCAGTATCGGTATCGGGCCCGATACTGAGCTCCTGTACTCGTACTCGTTAAAATGCCCCGACACCAAACGCCGATACCACACAGCATGTGATAAGTGCCATATTCAGACAAAGAAACACCGACAACAGAACAACAGACAGCAGAATGGAGTTATTAAAGATGTCTACGAAGTATATGTATGCAATGAATATAAAACATTCAGTATTAATTCCTGTATAGATGATGTGCGCGAGCTGATGAGCAAAGTACGCTGAGTGGATTGAGCGCGCGGCGGCGCAGATGCGCGAGCTTGTCGAGTGAATATACCTTTCTCAGACCTGATTTCACCTAAGCTACATGTGCTACTGGATCACGCATAACTAATCTGTTTAAACATTTGGATTTTCCATTTTTGGTCCAATCAATTACAAATGGATCAAATATTTATCCTGCATTTTTTCCCCCTTTTTTTGTCCATAAGGGAATAGATCACAATACAGAAGTAAAATGGGTTTGAATTAGGGGCGGGCGATATGACCAAAATCTTATTTCACGGTATGATAAATTTTATTTCATGATAACAATTGCAGCAACTGGACCAATCAGACACACCATTTTTCATTTGATTTAACAAATCAATTATTCATTAGATTAACAAACGTTCGACCCTGAGAGGTCAAGTAAATATCTACAGCGGATCTAAATATTTATAATTAATTATAACTAGTTATGATTAATTATTCATATTTCCCCATGAATGAGCTGATTCGCTACACAATATAGCTATTTTAATTTTAATGTTTGTTATTAAAAATAAGACGAAGAAGCAAATTACAAACACAATAGAACAAATATTAAATAAACTTTTAATTATTCAGCTACAGTAGGCTAGGTTTATTTAACGTGTAGTAAGAAATATTACAGAAATTGAATAAAGTGTAGAAATAAAACACTGCATAGTGTTTTCACTGTATCAAACAAACATGAACTGATTATTATTAAAAATCCAGTGATTCAGTCAAGTGCAGTGAGTGATTGACATTAACATTAATAATGACAGACAGCAGCAGGTAAAAAAAGGCTGCTGTCCCTTTAAGACCGACTGCAAGGATCCAATATACTGACACCCAACTGTTTACGTTTATTTAACACATAACTGACAGTGTTTACGCGAATACTGTGTGCGTATTTGACCATTCAAGCACAATACAACATGAAAGAGATCTGTTTTCGCGATTGCATGCTGTCGAGAGAGGAGCTTTCATACTGCGGAATACACGATATAGCAAAATCTCTAACGATTACACACTTTATTCCGCGGTAACGATATATATACTGTCATACCGCCCAGCCCTAGTTTGAATGTCACTAATGTTTCACATTCATTTTGTGCAATGTAATGAATGATTTAGTGGTTGCTGTGATGTAGTGCTCACCTGTCACTGCGGAAATGGGGAAAGTGAAAGCGGATCTTCTTGAAGGTGATGCTCTGAAACTAATCAGACAGACAAGCATGCGTTCATTAGACCTTAAGTACACTGTAAAAAAAATCCGTAAAAATTTACGGTAAAAAACAAAAATCGGCAGCTGTGGTTGCCAGAATTTTACTGAAAAAAATACGGTAGCAGTGTTTAAGGTTTTACGGTTTTAACTTAAATTTACAGTTAAATACCGTAATTTCATTAACTGATATAATGTTAATATACCAACCCACTGAAGTACTGAAATCTGCTTTGTACCTTTGTAAACACTGCACCAAAAGCAGGTGGTGATGGGAAAATCACATGATGAACCAAAGCCTATCACAAGCAGCTTTTAAATAATAACATATATAGAAGGTGCACAGTGTCATTCACACAAACACTAAACACCATCACTGTAACACACATGAAACAGAAAATGCAATAAACATTAACCGAACAACATTAGATGTAACATACAACCCTAATGTACACAACTGATAAGAAAAAACTAAGAAGAAATAGTTATTTCAACAACAAAAAAAACATCAAATTTGATACAATATTTTTCCACTTCCAAAAACAGTATACTACCGTAAAATTACATGTAATGTCCTATACAGTTTTTCACCATATATAGTAGGGGAACTTACCATTAACCATTTAACAGGTTTTTACTGTAGCATTTTTACAGTCTATTGCCATTAATTTCACAGTCATTTTTTTACAGTGTATGACTGTGACAAGAAAGATGATGCATAAACAAAACACCTGGTTACATTCAGAACACAAAATCATCAACCATCGGAAGTACTGTCAACCTCAACAATTTTAAATAGCAGAACTGTTAAAGATTAGTCAAATCAGTACTTTGTTTATTACTCAGTTCAAGTTGAACACATGAGCATATGGAGGAGTACCTGAGGAAGCCCTGCTCCTAATATCGCTCCACTGTGAATCATTGGTCCCTCTTTACCCACAAACAATCCTGAAACAGCCAGTTTACACACGTTACTTAAAAATCGGAATCAAAAAGTGGCCATCACCATTAATATTCTAATACAGCACAGAGCCAGAATGTATTCTAATCTTTGTCTGTGCTATTATAGACTGTTTCCCTCATCATTACCTCCAGCAACAGCGAACAGGACTCCTGTGACCTTACATATGAAGGTCCGCAGCCGCACAATGCCTGGAATCTTTACTCCGTTCAGGTAACTTTTAATTTCTGGGATACCAGACCCAGCTGCAACAGGCTATTACACAGGAGAAACAGACTGATTATATACTCTCCCCACACAAAAACATCATTATTAAAATATAAAATTGCATGAGAGAGACTTAACTTCCACTGATTTAATATTCTTATAGTATTAAATACAGTGTTGATATATATATATATATTTTTTTTTTTTTTTTTTTTTCGACGTGTTTCAGAAAGGCGGGGCATAGAGGAGAAACAATAATGTACAGTATGTGGAAAATAATGTGTTTTTGAACTTTAAACCGCATAAACACATTTCATTACACCAAATACACAAAATAATGTTCTTTTTAGCAACATCACATGACCCCTTTAATGTCTTTTTCTTCAGTCTCTTATGCTCACCAAAGGCTGCAATTATTTGTTAAAAAATGCAGTAAAAAAAAATAAATAAATAAAAAATAAAAAAGAGTAACGCTGTGAAATATAACTACAAATTAAAATAACTGCTTTCTATTTTAAAATATTTAATTTATTCCTGTGGTGGCAAAGCTGAATTTTCAGCAGCTATTCTGAGCATAGGAGACTTCTTTTAAAAAAAAAAAAAAAAAAGTCTTAATTATTCCACAATAAAGTCAGCCCTTCTTGATTCAAATTATGTCTCATCTTGGAATGATATTCAATATATAGCAATAGAAAAAAGTTTCAGTTTAATTTAAGTTTATTGCCACATCAGCTTCACAGGCTATTTCATGGCAAAGATTATACATTAGAAATATAGTAGAACATAATACAAATAAATAAATAAACAAATTAATGAATAAAAAAAATTATAAAAAGTATTGCACATAAATTTCTATAAAATACACTTTAAATTTACTTTTAGCAATAGAAAAAAATCTAGCAGTCTAATAAATCTGGCAATGTGTATTACAATGAATGTTGGCTCTTTGATAATTTGCTTTGTTCCTATTTTGTAAGTCGCTTAAGATAAAAGCTTCTGCTAAATGCAGTAATGTAAATGTAAATCAGTGAAATACTCAAAATCAATGAGTGTTTTTTTCTGGAGTTTAATGTAAGGTGCTAGCCTAAGGTGTGCCGTGTAATGACTTTTAACTAGGGCTGCACGATAAATCGCATGCTATATTTAACGCGCATCTTGTCAGAAATCCGATTCTGTAATCAGCGGTAAATCTCCATCATGTGCGAGCTTTCACATTGAGCAGCATTAACTACACAGAGCCGTTGTTCACTGACGAGCCTCCACAGCTGAAGCACACGTCAAGGACTCCACTCAGCAAATAGTGCAACATTACACAAACCAAAACACAACGCAGCACTAAGCAGAAAAGATACATTGTCCAACCAAGCTGAACTTTAGCTGAGTGAAGAGCCGCACGAAGAAATCAACAAACAGGCCAGTCTGAAAAAGAAAAGAAACCAAAAATATCACCATTTCACTGGACCACAGAAATAGTAGGGAGGTGAAACTCATCAACAAATGACCAGTATTTGACCTCCAAAATCAAAAATGATATTTTTTTTTTTTTTTAAATCTTAATGTTCCAAAACAGGCTTAATTTTCTATAATGATATTTATGTAATTTAATATTAATTCAATTAATTTTTGGGGGATGAAGTACGTTTGAATTTTAAATATATTTAAAATAGTGCTGTCAAACGATTAATCGCATCCAAAATAACAGTTTTTGTTTACATAATATATGTTTGTGTACCGTGTATATTTATTATAAATACACACATGCATGTATATATTTAAGAAAAATATGTTACGTTTATATATTTAATATATGATATAAATTATATGAATATAATTATATACATGTAAATATTTTCTAAATATATATTGCATGTGTGTGTATTTATATATACATAATAAATATACACAGAACACACACATATGTAAACAAAAACTGTTATTTTGGATGTGATTAATCGCGATTAATCGTTTGACAGCACTATTTAAAAAAATAAAGTTTAAATATATGTGTAGGCATTTGTATGTACTAACTGTAAACACTACATAATACCAAATAATGCTAATATTGTGGACACAATTTTTCCATCATAACTGCCAGGCTCTGAGACTTGATATAAGTGACTTCAGAGAGTATAAACTAAACTGATCAATTTATTGCAGACTTTCTTGTAATCTCGCCTCTGAAAACGAAGACATTAGTTCTTGTTTCTCATATCGTTCTTTTATTATATCCCAGTGACACTTGATTTTAGGCAGATGAAGTAGTGAGATCTATAATTTGCTATAAATCTCATTCTCCAGTAGGGTATAAAAGCATCATGCACCGCTGTATTGGTGCCATGACCCCTTTTCAAAACGACTTCAGATGCATAAACCACCCCAAAGCTTACCAGTCCTGTTGATACTCCAATCGCAAAAACCAAAATCCACTTTATCGCTTCATACTTTCTGGCTTTCTGTAAAAGAAATTAGATAATACATTTGGTAAACAGGGACTTGCGATCATACGAATATGATAAATGAAGACATCACATCACACGTTTTACCTTATTATCCAACCCCTCCAAAACCTCCAGGAATGGCTCATTTATGCATCGGTCATAATCCAAACTCTGAAATGCCAAATATGAATAAAGACAGGCAGCGTTCATATTTTTTTCCAACATATCTGACAAACGATCATGTTTCAAGTCTTCCGTCCATTACTCACTAACCTCATAGGCTTTTCTCGGCAATATTTCATCCTCGACTTCTCTGGTTTCACCCAGTATTGTCTAACAAGCAAAAGGCAGCAATAATATCAGGATCTCAGTCCTCAAAATGAACAGACGGCCTGTGACGACTCGAAACAATGGGGTGACTGTTTCTGAGCACATTTCTGACATTTCACTTTATCATACCTATATTAATGCCTGATTCAAAAGATTGGTCAACAATATTAGCATTACTTTGCAATGATAAAGAACACATTAACGATATTAAATCAGGTTAATCATCATTGTGTCAAGAAATACAGGGTGTGTCTCATAACCTGACGAGACGATGATAATGATTTGGTGATATAATGCCCAAATTACATGACGCCCTAATGACATATTGTCCAAAACTGCTGCACTGGCCAAAAATTACCAACAATATCGTCTAGACAATGAACAGACTAGATTCAGAAACCGTTAGACTGACAGGTTTGATCGCTAGACTCGTTGTTAACGTACACTTGATTCACATCAGGCTGTTTAACGTTACAATGAATTTGGGTGGCGAACAACAGATGAACAAGCATAGTTTACAGCGTCAGAATGAACTCACGTTTCATTCAACAAGGCGTTTTGCGTTAGGAAACAGATAACACACATAAAATATTGTATACCAACTCCTCTGGTGTTCTTGTGTCGCCTTCATTGCAGCAGCACTGACAACACAAACCGCCTCCGCAGCACGCCATCGTCTTCAGCAGCACACCGCTAGAGCAGAGCGCAGCTGATCACATGACCATCGCTCAGGCCAGCTGAAGCATTCAAGCGCGCACCAGATGCGCAGCTTTAACGCAGACACGAGGGACTCAAGCGCGCACCAGATGCGCAGCTTTAACGCAAAATCTGTATGCACCAGTATTTACCGTATTTACGCAATCCACTTATCTATAATATATAGACAGTGCTGGGTAGATTACTTATAAATTGTAGTCTGTTATTGATTACAAATTAAATGACGAAAATTGTAATCAGTAATGTAATTTAGGTTACTAATTTTAGGTAATGTATTCTGACTACTTCGGGATTACTTTGAGATAGGGCTGCACGATTAATTGAATGCGATTGTCATGCGCACTTTGTCAGTAATGCTGGTTCTGTAATCAGCAGTAAATCTTCATCACGTGCTTTCAGATGGAGCAGTATTTACTACACATAATAGTTCACGGACAAGCTACGCAAAAAAATCGCGCAATTCTGAAATCGAAGAAATCTTTCGCGATAATGACAACTGTTTGCGAACCGCGATCTCGATTCCATTTCGATTTATCGTGCAGCCCTACTTTGAGATTACTTAAATTTTTACATTTGAAATATTTTATTTGTTTAACTGCATGCTAATGTGACGATTAACCAATCTCAGAGAGCTGTAAACAATGTGTCATTAATTAAATGAAATATTAACTTTCAATCTCAGGGGGACTTGAAGTAAATATTTTAGGTCAACGGGATTTGACTGCCAAGTTTGGGAATCTCTGCATCACATGAACAAAAATGAATAAACATGAAAACAGCAATGACATGGACAGAGTCTTCAGAGTTTTAGATATGTTTGTCAGTTTAGTAACTTGCGTAATTGTTCATCATGGTATAATTGACTGAGAGGTGCGTTGTCCCCAAATTCAAGCATGGATTGCAAATTAATTCGCATGACATTTACACGGCCATTCTATATTGTGAATATTCAAAGCTGAATGATATGACACAAAGTAGACCTTTTTTTAGAAGGGAACATTTTAAAAGAGAGAGAGAGAGAGAGAGAGAGAGAGAGAGAGAGAGAGAGAGTAAGAAGAATTAGGGAGAATCAATAAATTATGAATAATTTACTGCAATTGTGTGAATAATTTGTAATCATGTAATCAATAAAAAAGTAACTGTAGTCTGATTACGAGTATTTTAAAATGTAATTGAATGTAATTAGGAGTAGCCTACTTAATTTTTGGAATCCAGATTACATGTAATCAGTTACTACCCAGCTCTGTATAGACTACTGATCTATAACATATAGACCACTGACGACTGATCTATATAGATCATAATATATAATATATAGATCAGTGATGGAAGAAGCCCTTTTCCGACCGCCACATACGAAAACCCAATGCTTTAGTAAATTATCATTATGACAAAAAAGTCAACATAATGAGATAAAGGGTCGAAATAATGACATAAATTATAATTATGACACGAAAGGTCAAAAACATGAGACACTAAGTCATAATTAGTTGGCATGCCATCTCATCT